TTCCCCAAGAAACAGATACATGATCTTCCCATGTTATTTCTACAGGGTTCTCTATGGTGCTAGTGAGGGTCATCTGACCTGGGCAAGTCGCTGGGTACCTAGAATCGACATTCTCAGTAATATGTTCCCATTACGTCCAAATGTGCTCATCAAGCCAACAGCTCTAACAGCTGACACTCAGAGAGCATGTGATGCTGCTCAACGTGCTTCACGGCCATTTCACAGAACAACTGCTTGGTCTCCGGGGCACACAGTAGGACTGCAGGAGGGCAGTCACAAGAGTCCAAAGAACCCATGACTGCTCCAAAAAACATTCAACTTTTAATAAAACTAATTACAAAGCTATTAAAAATATTCGTGCTTCAGGCCTAGAGAGATGGTTCCGTGGTTAAGAGTACTAGTTGCTCTTACAGAGGACCCAGGTTCAATTCCCAGTACCCTCACGGCAGCTCACAACTGTCTGTAAATCCAGTCTCAGGGGATCCACTGCCCTCTTGTGGCTTCCATAGGCACTGCATGCATGTGGTACACATACATGTGGACAAAACCCTCACACACATCAAAATAAATATTCATGCTTAAAAGTGTCACTCTATAAGAGAAAGTTTATATCACACCCTGTTATTGAGAATAATGGAATAATGAGAATAAAGAAATAATGAGAGGAAAAATAAGAATTTAAAATATTAACTAGGGGCTAGAGAGATGGCTTAGCAGTTAAGAGCACTGGCTGCTCTTCCAGAGTACCCTGGTTCAATTCCTAGCACCCACATGGCAGCTCACAACTGTCTATAACTCAAGTTCCAGAGGATCTGACACCCTCACAGCAAGGCACATAAAATAAAAAATTAAAGAAAGAAAGAAAATCTAAACTGTTAACTGGCCATGAATATAAATAAATTCTAATAATTTTATCGCATAAACAACAAATTTTCACAAAATTGTCCCACAGGACAATGGGCTAAGACATACATAGGATTACAAAATTGTGAATGGAAACCAGCACAATTTAGCTGTGGTTGAAAACGTTATATGAACCTGAGCGTAGTGGCACATGCCTTTAATCCCAGCACTCAGTAGGCAGAGGTAGGTAGTTCAAGGCCAGCCTTGTCTACACAATGTCTTCCAGGACAGCCAGGGCTATGTAGAGAGACCCTACCCCCACCCCCAAAAAAGAAAAACAAAAAAAGAAATTTATATGATTAGAAGGCTGAGAAGTTATGAATATGGCCACTAAAACATGTTTGAAAACTCCATTTAAGATGAAAGCTAAGGCTGGAGCTGTGGTTGTTCAGTGGTCGGGCACTTGCCTGGCATGTTCAAGGCCCTGGGTCCGATCCTCAGCACCACAGGATGAGAGTTACAGCAGGTCAATGTTTGCTGGCAAAGTCATGCTTGAGATTTTTTTTCTTTTTCTGGAAAATGCTTAAGTATACCCCTTTAATGTGTTTCTCGAGTCCTTTTCCTGTTACTTCTGTTACCTTTTATTTGTTAGCCAAATAAACAAGTCAGAGTTTTATCTTTAGAATCAATTAATTACTCTCAGAGTGTTTTTGTTGGAACCTAGCACCGTGAGTCCCTTTCCTCTCGCCCATACACTCACAGACCAACATGGCAACATCAGCTCCACATCCTAACAAGTTGATTCATCCTGAGAGAGGGAGGTTCCAGAGCTGGGGATGGGTCAGAAAAGGAAATTCAAATAGCACCAATCCCATTCAGTGTTACACCTGCAGGAGACAGGAATCATCCAGACAAAACCTGTTTCTTTCTAAACAATTGTTCCACGTCTTCTTGCCTTTTTCTGAAATACTTGTGTCTCGGTTTTAGCATAATTGATATACCAAAGTCAATGAAAATCAGCATTACCTTGCTGACTTCATAACCCTTTCTGATATAAATGCCTTTTCAAAATTATCTTTAGATGGCTATTTTATTTGAACCATTAGTTCCTTTAAAATAAGGAAACTGACAGGGAGTGGAGACATACATACACCCACATTCCAGAGTCAGATATAGCCCATGAGAGCACACATCTATCCCACACAGCTGTGGTAAGAATTAAATGAGCTAATACGTGCGAAGTACCAGAATAGTGTCCAACCACAGCAGCGTTCAGTGACTGTGAGCTGTCACTTTACCATGTCCCATCTGACCTGTCCCTGTGTTCCTTAGAAAGTAGGTAAGAATGGCAGAGAACACAGGAAATTCCCCCTCCCCCATTTCCTGCTTAAAGACCATGGACCGCACGAGTCCAGCTCCTACTCTCTTCCAGGAGAAGGCTCTAGATTGGACCCCTTCGATTCTCTTTAGAGAACTAGCCCCTTGGTGTCAAGCATGAAAGGATGATCAGGATGTTTCCTGGATCCTCAAAGCCAGTGAGCCTACGGTACTAGTCCTTGGTGGATTTGCAGATTACTGAGGGTTAAGGGACCGACCTAGAAGAGCAATCCCACTCACACCAGAAAGGAAGTGGATGAGAGACAAACCAGCGGCAAACGACAGCAGACAATGGTGTCAGACTGACCTAACACAGCCACTTAGGGCCATTAAAGAGGAGATGGCTTGGCCAAGCAGCCAGTGTGACTGACAAGCAGAACACCACTGGAGACTGTCCATGTAAGTCTTAACAGGAAGCAGGGGAGTGTCTCACTTCCTTATGCATTGGTACATAAGTCTATCCAGCCTAGCCCCAGAGGACTCCACACCAAGATCTAGTGTGCCTGCTCCCCAGCCCCCACCCCCACCGCCACTTACTATCCTGTGAAGTTTTTCTCAGTTCTCTTAGGGACTGGGGAGGTAGCTCATCAAGTAAGTGATTGCTTTGCAAGCACGAAGACATGAGTTCGATCTTCAGCACCCATGTAAAAAGCCAGACACAACAGTACACACCTGTAAATCCAGGGCTCCAGGAGCAGAGACAGGAGGATCCCAAAGGCTTGTTAGCCAGTCTGTCTAGCCAAATCAGTAAGCTACAGGTTCAGGGAAAGACCCTGCCTCAAGAAGAAACTGTCTTCACAGACACAAACCCAGCAAGGTCCCTTTGTGCCCCGACTGTATTAGTTACTTCTGCAGTCACTATGACCAAGTCCCTGATGAAACAAGTTACGGAAGTAAGGTCTACGTTGGCTCACAGTTTCAAAGGATTGAAGTTCATCCAAGGACAGTGGGGAGGCACGGCATTTGTGGAGGAAAGAACGTGTGGCCGAGACACCTCACATAGCGCTGACCAGGAGGCAGAGAGAGCAGGCTGAACCAGAGGCTGATGTAACCTTTCAAGACCCACCCTTCATAACCCATTCCCACCAGCCTGTGCCCACTTCTTCAACACAGTGTTGCATGCTGTAGACACAGTGTTCAAAACACAAGCCCGGGGGGACATCTCCTACTCAACTCTAACAGTGACGGTCAAGCCCAGTGGAGCTCAGCGAGCAGTGACATGAAAAGGATCAGGGCTGTGGCTCAGGTGTCTTTCTGTACATGTGCAAGAAAATTAATCTCCAGTGTAAGATGGAAAATAATGTCGATTCAAATGACTTACACTTTCCGTGAGGCTTTAAACCCAAGTTTCTAAAATCTTCCTTAGTCAAGAAAGACCTTAAAAACCACAGTTGAAATGTACGAAATTTAAGTGCAGAAGAGTGGGCTGTAATGTATGAGATCTGTCCCGAGCATCCTCTGTGCCCTGTGCCAAGGCACAAAGTGTGCAGGAGGAGAAAGCCGTAAGCCAGTGCTCTGTCTGTCACCGAGCCACACTCTCAGCCTGGCTTGCATTTTTTTTTTTTTTTTTTTTTTTTTTTTTTTTGGTTTTTCGAGACAGGGTTTCTCTGTGCAGCTTTGCGCCTTTCCTGGGACTCACTTGGTAGCCCAGGCTGGCCTCGAACTCACAGAGATCCGCCTGGCTCTGCCTCCCGAGTGCTGGGATTAAAGGCGTGCGCCACCACCGCCCGGCCTGGCTTGCATTTAAAGTAACCTCTACACTCTAACTACAATTCCTTCTTACAATGACAATATTTACAATGAGAAGATGTGGATGAAACGGAGAGGAGGAGGAGGAGGAGGACCGACGAAAGTTAGGATCTCTCCTCTGTGTGGAAAATTCTACCTGAAGTTATAGATTTTCCCAGTGAACTACATGGAACCAAAAGCCTTCAAGCTAACTTGGCAATTACATAGTTATGCTTTCAAGACATGTACATGAGCCAACCCCAGGGGTGTTAAAACAGGACTATGATAAGCTGTGTTTAGAACTGGAGTATTTATGCCACGAGATTGGCAAGGTATTATCGTATATCAGATATTATTTCTGTGTTCGTTTGTTTGATATTGTTTTTATAAATTCAAACCCATCATTTGAAACAGCACATGTTGACTGTTAGAAGAGCTAAAGAATAAAGTGCTGTTTTCTAGCCCTCTGACTCCCTAATCCATAAACTCCTGAGTATTTTCTCTTTGTACACCGCCTTCCATTGTCATTCAACCCAAAGGTCTTGTTTATTTCATACTACCAGACAGCAAACACTGTGGCTGCAAATCTGCAATACTTTCTTCAAGAATAACTTCATCCAATCAAAGAGACCCTCTCTTCAGTGCCGTAAACAAAATGCTACCATCTCTATATCGTTCAAACCTTGGGAAGCATGTAGCGAGTGCTGCGTGAACGCATACAGAACTGACTCCCACTATTACAAACCACAGAAGGCCCGGAGTTACCCAAAGTAGTAAGTAATGCAAAGGACTTGTACTTCAGCTCTGCATACTGACAGTACATATGTACTCAGATTTGCATAACTGAGTTGCAGGAATACTGTGTATAACTGCACCAATACACTTAACATTGAATGGCAGGATCTGTAAGTAACTGGAAATGGCTGACTAAAGAACAGAAATGCAGTTTACCTATACTATATGTGTTTAACATTCAAGAAAACAGCTTTTATCACTGAGTAGAGAAATCAGTATAAAGCACAGACTGAACTAACAAAATGTGAATCTCCTACCTGAGTATCTTTGTATTTGTCTCGTAGGTCCAGAAGCCGGTGGTAAGCTTTAATGGCTTCCGCAAACTCCCCGACGTCGGTGCTGGTGAGAATATAGTTTTCCCAGATTTGCCAGTGTTCGTAGTTACATTTGAGAGCTTCTTGTAAAGTTCTAAAAGCTTTGACTCTGTGGGAGGTCAGATTTTAAAGAAAGGAACAATGAAGTCTTATGAACGTGAATGTGAATGGTCGCTCTTTAATTGCTTGTATCATACATCACTTGGGAGTCAGAACCCAAACAATAACACAAAGCCACCAAGTTCCCTGTATGGTTCAATAAGGATATGAGGGACACACAGCACTCCATGGAAATATGTCTTCCCTTATTTATTTACTGCTAACAAGGACATTATAACACATAACATCAATCTCAATATTGCCCCACAAAAAGGCCGATTCAAGTTCCAGACTCCAACCTAGAGTGGCCTACTATGTGTGGCTGTAATCCTGCAAGACAGACAGAGGGAAGCACATAGGTGGGCGAGACAGATGTGAGGTCAAAACAAAACACAGGCTCCTCACCCTCTAAATAAACCTACAAAACAAAACTATACAACCTGGCGGGTGTAAGGGGTGGCCCTACACAAAGATGGGACAGTCAACAAAGCTGCCCAACAGGACATAAACTTACTAAAATTAAGGTTAATTTTTAAAAACTAATTATTTTGCTGTTGTTGTTGTCATTTTATGTATGTGGGTGTTCTGCCTCTATGTATGTCTGTTCACCATAAACATGCCTGATGCCTGTGGAGGCCCAAAGAGCAGAACAGATTCCCTGGAACTGGAGTTACAGATGGCTGTGAGCTGCCACCTGGGCACTAGGAATTGAATCTACATCCTCTGGATGAGCAGCCAGTGTGCCCTTAACCACTGAACCATCACTCCAGACCCTGAGCTATAGTTAAGTAGTCTATCAAAAACAGGAGACCATAGGACTAGAACAAGGGGTGTTAAGCTGAGCAGTGGTAGCGCACACCTTTAATCCCAGCACTCAGGGGGCAGAAGCAGGTAGATCTCTGAGTTCGAGGCCAGCCTGGTCAACAGAATGAGTTCCAGGATAATCAGAGCTGTTACACAAAGAAACCCTGTCTTGAAAAAACAAAACAAGCCGGGTGGTGGTGGTAAACGCCTTTAATCCCAGCACTTGGGAGGCAGAGCCAGGCAGATCTCTATGAGTTCGAGGCCAGTCTAGTCTACAGAGCGAGATCCAGGAAAGGCTTCAAAACTACACAGAGAAACCCTGTCTCAAAAAAAAAAAAAAAAAAAAAAAAACCCAAGAAGGCAAAGGTGGGGGTGTGTGCAAAAGGACTCATATGACATAAAAACATAAAGGAGGCTACTTGGACAGACAGAGGGGGAAGAGGGAACAGAGAGAGAAAAAACAAAAACAAATTTTGTTCGAAAAATTGCATAATGAAATCTCATTCTTTGTATGCTAGAAGTATTTTTTTTAAAAAGGTAAACTATGAAGCCTTTGAATATATTTGTTTCAAAACTGACACAGACAAGGCAGTGATTTACAACAGGAGACAGTAAAACAAAACCAGGTAGAAACAGAGCAAGACCAAAGAAATGTGAACAAAACACAACTAGCAATTTCAGAGTTGAAAGAAACATTAAAATAAACAAAGCTTAATGTGCGTCTAAAACCAGCCTGCACGTAATTCAAGAGAAAATTGGTGAACTGGAAAAGAATAGTGAGGAATCTGCCAAAATTCAGATTAACACATAGATGAAGAGTGAGGAAACAAGAAAGAACGAGCTAAGACTTAGATATACATCTGACAGAAATTCCAGAGTAAAGGAATGCAAGCAAATGGCAGGACGCTACGGATCAAAGGTCGGGGCTGAACATTTTTCCAAGCAAAGATCTAAATTCTTTGATCAAAAAAGCACATTGCATATTCTAAGCAACATGAAGATATCCTAATATTTTACAAAAGAATAACAACTGGGAAACAGTGGGTATTTCATCAGCAACAAGAGGACAGAAAACAATAAAATACGTACTACTTCTAACATGCTGAGTGAAATGAACAGTTAACCTAAAGTTTTATAACCAGCTAAACTCGCCACTCAAAAGGAAATGCAAAATCAAACATATTTAAATATACAAGAATGGGGTATTACTGACTGATCCTAATTTGAAGAACCACTAAAGGATCCTTTCTTACAAAAATAAAAGGGATTTCAGGAAAAGAAAGAAAGAAAGGGGGGGAGGGAGAGAGGGAGGGAGGGAAGGAGGGAGAGAGAGAGAGAAAGAAAGAAAGAAAGAAAGAAAGAAAGAAAGAAAGAAAGAAAGAAAGAAAGAAAGAAAGAAAGGTTTTCAAAAATCAAGCAAACTGTTTGTTTGTATGGACTCTCCCCCGCCCCTTTTCTTCATTATATCCCTTACCACTGTCTCCCATGTGATAGCAACTATTTTCAACAACTGGTGGGCTGAGACTCCTCAGTTCTCCCACAACAAAGAGGGGGGCATCAAGTCATCTTCCTGGAGAGCAACCCAACAGACAACGCCACAGGGAGATCTGTCTGCATGCCCCCCAATCACAGGCTCCGGAGCCCAAAACTTTAAATGAGGGGTGAGAGTTGGGAGCTGGCTTTGTCTATAAAGCACTCATCTTGCAAGCACAAGAATCTGAGTTGACCCCCAAAACCCACACAAAAGTAACAGGTACGGAGGTGTCCACTTGTAATCTCAGCTGGGGTGGGGGGTTCAGAGGATCCTGGGACTCACTGGCCAGCCAGTTTAGCCTGTTTTGTGAGCTCTGGGCCAATGAGGGACTCTGTTTCAAAGGAAGTGGATGGCTGTTTCTGAAGACAACACCCAAAGTTGCCATCCATCCTCTACATGCACATGCACACACAGAGAACTAGCAATGAACTGTTTGGGTTCCTTTCTTGATAAGGATAACTTTTTTATAAGAAGCTTTCTTATCCAGCACACCATGGTGGAGATGCTGAACTATTAAGTTATATATACACACAATGGGAAATGCTCCCAAAGGCCCTGACACCTGGGGAAATCAGATGGAAAAAAGTGAAAAGGGCACTGTAGTGGTCACACCAGAACAGATGAGGTCATTTTAGAGCAGAAATATTGTTTTGAGGGGGACAGTAATTATTTACTTCTGAAATAATTTCATGAATCTAGTAATGATGTCGAGAGCAATGGTTCTCAACCAGTGGGTCAAATATTCCGTTCACAGGGGTCACCTAAGATCATCAGAAAACACAGATATTTACATTCCAATTCATAACAGTAGCAAAATGACAGTTATAAAGTAGCAATGAAAATAGTTTTACGGTTGGGGTGAGCACAGCATAAGGAACTGTATTAAAGGGTCGCAGTGTTGGGAAGGTTGAAAACCACTGCTCTAGAGTAACAGCAAAGAAATGAAAGAATAAGGGGACGATGACCTTTGGGTCTTGCATCCCTACTTTTACACAAAATCTATTCACAGGACAGCAGAACAATAAAAAATACCAAGAAGTCAACAATGCTTGAGAACTGTCTACAAAGAATGATAAAGACATTGTGGAGTATGAAAAGCCTCACAATGGGGACTGGAGAGATGACTCAGCAGTTAAGAGCACTTGATGCTCTTGAAGAGGACCCAGGTTCTATTCCCACAGCATTCATATGGCAGCTCATTTGGAACTCCAGTTCCAGGAGTTCCAATGCCCTCTTTTGGCCTTTGTGGACATCAGGTATGCACATATGGTACATATACATACATGCAAGCAAAGACTCATACACATAGAGTAAAAATAATTGAATCTTTAAAAAAAAAAAAAAAAAAAGCGCCGGGTGGTGGTGGTGCACGCCTTTAATCCCAGCACTTGGGAGGCAGAGCCAGGTGGATCTCTGTGAGTTCGAGGCCAGCCTGGGTTACCAAGTGAGTTCCAGGAAAGGTGCAAAGCTACACAGAAAAACCCTGTCTCAAAAAACCACCCCCCCCCCAAAAAAAAGCGCCTCACTACATACAGGATTATCTAGGCTCTTAGAAAAAACCAGTAAGATCCCACTACAACCAAGACACCCATTGCCCTAGAGCAACAGGTATCCGGTAAGCATTAGCACAGTCCATTTTAATCAAGAACATAGTATTATTTTGAAGAGATTGGTAGAACAAGCTGAAACTATTTATGTCGACTGCTAAGAGCAGAGGAAACATTTCATGATCTCAATATAAAATGGTCTTGATAGCTTCACAAGTATCTTGTGACTCCACAGCAGATACCAAGCCTGAAAATAAGGCTAAGTAAAAATGGAAAGACCCTTTCATTGCTGCATTAAAGCTCTGGCGACAGCAGCTCTTGGTTCTTCCATTTCCTTCGCTTTCCACAGCCAGTCCACAGCCACTGGGCTGTTTTGTTTGGCATCCGCCCTTTCTTTTTCCACTCTAGTTCGCTCAGGTCTGGATTGTTTAACTGGTTCCCCAGCTTCCAGCTCCCTCTCTACTCTGCCTCATACAGACAGAAGTTTCTCTTTCATCAACAGGATGGTCTCCCCGTGCTGGTCAGCATTAGAAGATACAGTGAGTTGAGTGTGGCCCTTTTCTATCCTTCTCTTTCACTGGAGAGCTCACTTACTCTACAGCTGGACTACTTGACTTCACCTCCTAAAATAATTCACTCAATTATGTCACTCTACATTTGGCCACATCACTTCCTTTGCCTAAACAGTGTCCTCTATCCTTTCCACGTGTCCTTCAAAGCTAGCTTCAGTATAGGACAAGCACCTTTGGGCCAGGCTCACAGACCTTCCTCTCTGTGGTCTTCACGGGACTAATAAGTTCCTGACACACGCGCACCAGGCGAGCAGAAAGCACCTACTTTATCACAGCCCCTTTGCATTCTCCTCTGATATTCACCACATACAGCTTGTGTCACTAGTCAGCTCTGAAAGCAATATTGCAGACTGATTTATTTCTTAAATCTACATCTCCAGAAGAATAGGGTCATGTTTCTATTTTATAAAAATGTCTAAGACAAGCAATTAATAAGAAAACTACCAGTTGAGTTTGTTTTTATCATGTCATGAAATTTATGGTGAAAAACTCTGGTGGCAAGTAACAATTTTAAGGATATTTCTTTATTCTATAATTCATAATGTCTACTTCATTATACAATAAATGTTTTCAAGAAATAACTATACAATTAGAATTCAAGGTTCACTAAGTTACTCTAACTTATATACAAGGGTAGGAAAAAAGGAAAAAAAGCTAGACACAGATTTTAAATATTCAGTTGGAGAAAAATCTTACTAATTTGAGGGGGAAAGCAAGTTCTTCACATTGGACTCATGTACTTACTTTTGTTTCAATCGAATATAAGAAGTGGATAAATTGTTCCAAGCCTCAGCATTCTGAAATAATAGATAATCCAGTTAGAGACTGTTCTTAGGTAAGACATTTGCTAAAATTAAATACAACCCATTTTCCTAGTCTGATATGTACTCTTTAAAAAAAAAAAAAAACAAACCAAACCCACAACTTTCAAAAATGTATTCAAAAGAAAAAAATGGCATAAAGTTAAATTAAACTTTATTTTTATGGCTTACAAAAGAAATAAAAAAAACCAATGACATGGGTATCACAGCACAGATTCAGATCAGTTAAATTTTTATTTTCAAATTTTGACATATAAAATTGTTGGAAAATTTACAATATAATTTAACTAATATGTCTATATTTATTATTATTCAAGTAAAATCAAGGCTTACATAAATATTGATTCTAGTAAGAATGTTATGAATTTTACTTTGTTCTATTTTCTTAATAAAATATAGCTCTGAACTGCCACACATAGGATTTTAAAGTTAAATGGTTCTGACCGCCCTTTCCAGATGTGGCAAAGCTAGGACCTGGCTTGCCTTCTCACCATAAAACCTACAGTGTAGACAAAATAAGCCCTGTGTGCGGGAGTTGGATACAGCAGCACAGGAGTGACCCTGCAGAGAGGGGAAGGTGCTCAGGGGTCTCAGCAGGCCGTCCAGCTGCTGTCTCTGGCACACTCGGGGCTCCCACCCAGACAGGCAGACACTGTCACAGCACACCAAGTCCCCTGAGATGAAGGAAGGGGACCAGACTACAGGGCTGAGAAGGCAAATGCAATCCACAGCAAAACACCATGGAAGAAAGGTAAAGAGCAAGTTCTAGAAAGTTCAGTAAGCATCCCCAAGGCTAAGCAATAAGCTTTACTACACCACTAGACTTTCTGAGGCCTGAAAAAAATCAACTAACTGCCAAAATGCTTCGTGCTGAATGAAGATTCTGGAAATTATACAGTGCCAGAAGTTTCAAGTTCTGACCAAGCAGGAGTAGAGTTCTTACTGTCTAACCATGGCATTCAACTCATCCAAGAAACCTTACCTCCTTTTTTTTTTTTTTTTTTTTTTTTGTGTGTTTTCGAGACAGGGTTTCTCTGTGTAGCTTTGTGCCTTTCCTGGAACTCGCTTTGGAGACCAGGCTGGCCTCGAACTCACAGAGATCCGCCTGGCTCTGCCTCCCAAGTGCTGGGATTAAAGGCGTGTGCCACCACCGCCTGGCGAAACCTTACCTCCTAACAGGACTATTATAACCTAGAAAACAACAGTCCGAATCTATTCTAACAAAGCTTAATTCACAATAATCCACAAGCAAATTAACTGAATGCCAAAGTAAAACTCAGTCTTCCAGAGGGAAAATAAGGAAACACAGAGACTTAACAACCATACACAATGTGTAGGGCAAAACAAAAGAGAGGTCAGAGCCAGGTGTGGGGGTAAATCCCAGCACTCAGGAGGTAGAGGCTGAGGACAGTAAGCCTGAGGTCAGCCTGGACTATACTACTGAGTTCAAGGCCAGCATGAACTATGTAGTAAGATCATGTCTCAAACAAAAAGAGAGAAATAAAGATGACTGACAGATAGCCAGGAGTAAAGAAGGGAGGGAGTGGGAGGGAGGGAGGAAGAGGAGAGAGAAAGAAGCGGGGGAAGATCAAATAAATTGGTAAAGATGCAAAGAGGTGGGAAAATTTCACCTATAACCAAAGATGGATAAAAATGAAAATAGAACAAACTATGCAAGAGCTGTTGGCATAAGCAGAAAAGGACTTGATAATGGTTATTAAAGTTCATCCAAAGACTTAGAAAACAGGATCACAACCAGAGGATGGTTGGGGACCGAGTGCATGCCAGATGCTGAAAGGACCAAGGAAAATACGTCAACTGCACTGTCTTTCATCCAACTAGTCCAAGGGATGCTCTGCACAGCCTGCTGGGAATCACAGAAGGAGAGCATCTCCCACCCAAGGCCAAGCAGTGGGAAGTGCGAAGAGGGAACTATGCCGGACATCGTAAGAATATAAACAGTTAGAGTGCCAGAAAGAAAAAAAAAAAAAAGAGGCCAGGGCAACCCAGTCAGAGTGTGCAGCCTGTGTGAGGCCCCAAACTCAGTTCTCATCACCACAAAGCCAGAAGGATAAACAGTACAAGAAACAATAGCCAGAGATTCCCAAATTTGATGAAACAAAGTCCATAAACCCCAAAAAATGTTAAGTCCCCAAGAAAAACATATATGAAGAAAGAAAATCATACCAATACTGCTTTTTAAAATAGGTCAAGACAGGTGGTGGCAGTGCACATCTTTAATTCTAGCACTCGAGAGACAGAGGCAGGTGGATCTCTGTGAGTTTAAGGCCAGCCTGGGCTACACAGAGAGTTTCAGGACAACAAAGGCTACACAGAAAACCCCTGTCTCAAAAAACCAAACCAAAACAAAAAAAGGGTCAAAAGAACAATCATAGAGGCAGATATAATAAAGAGACAGTATATATAAGAAGGGAAATATGTCCAAAGGATAAAAAAGTTAAATAATATACTACAAAATAAAATTTAAACCCAGCAGTACTTATAACAGGATCAAGCAACCTCAATTGGGGCTTACATCTTAAATAAATTACAAATTATGTCCACACAAAGATTTGTATGTCATAGCAGGACTATTCACTCACTCTACTGCAGTAAAAATGACACAAAGATCCTTCAACAGGATGAGGCATGCACACACTATTGATACCACAAAGCATTAAAAAGACATGTGCTATTATTATAACTAACAGCACACAAAACCTGAACTGCATCCCACGTGAAAGAATCTGAACAAGTGAGTCCCAAGTGTACAGGCTAACTAATCTGAAGGTATGGAAGAGCATTCGGAGAAAAACTTCAGCATGGCTACTGGGGACACAGAGGAGGGAGTTCATGGTGACAGGAGGGAGGGCATGGGGAGGTTCTGGGGGCAATGGAGTTTGACATCTCATTTTTCAAACCTGTCCAAACTGTTCATTTGAGACTTGCATGCAGTCTTTAAGTTATATTGCACTTAAAGGATGAAAAAAAAAATGAAGGCAGGTGGCATGTGGTTACTATTTCAAATATACAATTTGCTATGCATTTGAGATGAAAGATGGACTCTGAAAATCAGGAGTCCATTAAGCAAATGCCTGTTATCAATATGATCTTCCTTGTTTTCATTAGAACCAAGTCACTGTAGCAATTTAGACATTTATAAAAGCTAACTGCAGAGGCTACAAAAATGGATGATTGCACTTGAGCTCAGAAGCCCAGACGCTTGTGAAAAGCCTAGGGTGGTGATTTGTGTCTGGAACCCTGCACTGGGAGACATAAAGAGGGGTCTCGAGAGCTGGTGGCCAGCCAGTCTAGTCAGTCAGTGAGCTCCAGGCTCAGTGAGAGACCCTGCCTCAAAAAAGTAAGTGAAGAATGATAGAAACGCTTGATGCTAATTTATGACCTCTACATATTCACACACAGGTACATATACACTCATACATGTAATGCCCCCCCCCACACACACACAGTGAGAAAGAGAGATCAAACCAACTATAGTAGGTTATATGCACTCTGAAAGACTAAATGTGATGATTTAGAAAGCTGGAGAAGAGAGTCCATTGTGGAAAGTATCAAACATCTGAAACATGATCTGCCATCATAATCTTTAATTTTGTTCATAATTTCCACGGAAGTTTTCTGTGGAACACTGACAGTAATACTCTAAAGAATGAAATAAGATGCACAAGGGCTTGGGTTTGATTCCTAATGCAGGAACATACTTCTGTCATAGACTATTTGCATCATGTGTTTAAGGGAAGGGAGAAGGGAAAGAAGATAGAAAAGAGAAAATAAAGGAAGCAGGGGTTAGCAAGACGCTTCAGCAGGTCAAGGTGCTTGACGCCAGCCAGGCCTAACAACTTGAGTTCAATCACTGAGACCCACAAGGTAGAAGAAGAAAAGCAACTCCACAGGATGTCCTCTGGCTTTCCACATGCATGCATGTCATGCACATTCTCCCCAACACACAAAGAGGTAGGGAGGGAGGGGAGAAAGTCAGTATTAGAAAAAGGTAGAAAGAAAGCAAGTTTTAGGTTTCCACACTCAAAGTAGTAATAGTGAGGTGCAGATTAAATGAAACCCTTATCAACACCTCTTATACATTTATTTGTTTGTTTGTTTGTTTGTTTGTTTTGTGCCTGCAGAAGTTGATGTTAAAACTGGACATGAAAATTAAGGAACCCTGAATAGCCAAAACCATCATGAAAGAGAACCAAATATGAGGGTTCACACCCACCATTCTTAAACTCCATCTCGAGGCTTTTGTGAGTGGCGCTAGCACTCACAGGTGATGTAGCTGATGGAATCTAATTGGCAGTCTACAACTGAACTCACATTTGTGGTCAACTGACTTTTCACCAGAATGACAAGACTACTCCATGGGGGCAAAATGGTCTTTGAAACAAGTGACTCTGGTATTACTGGACATCCATGTGTAAAAGAATGAAATTGGAACCCTTCCTTACGCCATACACAAAACTTCTTAAGATAGTCTAGAGCTGAAACTACACACACTCTTAGAAGAAAAGGTAGGAATAGTGCAGGGAATATAGCTCAGTGATAGAGCACTTGCCTAGCGTAAGTAAAACTCTGAATTCAATCTCCAATAATGACAGAAAAAAATAAAGGGTGAGGGGTTTTAGTCATCAGGGCCTTGCTTTGGCAATAAATTAGAAACAAAGGAAAAAGAACAGATGAGTAGATGTCATCACTAAGGTAGGATCATGAGTTCAAGGCCAGCCAGCTTTCAGCTACATAGTGAGATCCAGGTCAGCACAGACAATTAACAAGAACTGGTCTCCAAAACTCCAAACCAAACAAATACAAAAAGTTTTAAACTTTAGAGTCAACAAGATGGCTCAGTAGGTAAAAGCACTCACTGCATATATGCCTGAGGTTCTGAGCTGGATCCCAGAACTCCTGGAAAGAGAGAGGCAACTCCAGAGCTTTGTCTTCTGATCTTCACACATGCTACCCATGCACTACACTCATACATACACAACACATCCACACACAATAACAAATAACAGTAAGGGATGCTCAGTGGTAAGGTATCTGCTACCAAGTCTGACAACCTTAGTTCCATCCCCAGATCTACATAGTGGAAGCAGAGAACTGACTTCAACAACCTGTCATCTGCCCTCCACACAGATGTTGTGGCACTCATACAAACCACACATATACACACATACACACACACACAAAGCATGCACACACGCATGCATGCATGCACACTAAATTAAACTTAAAAGTAAAATAACAGAGGGGCTGGAGAGATGGTGTGGCAGTTAAGAGCACTTGTTGCTCTTGCAGAGGACCCAGGCTCAATCTCCAGCACCCACATGGCAGCTCACTGCTGTCTGTAATGTCCATTCCAGGAGATCTGAAGTCCTCTTCTGGCCTCGATGGGCACTAGGCATGCATGTGATGCATAAACATATGTGCAAGCAAAACATCCACACACAAAAAATAAAATTAAAATTTTAAAATAAATTTATAATTTTGTGCTTTAAAGGGCACTACTAAGTGAAAAGGGGTTGGAAGGACAGCTCTACAGTTAGGAGCACTTGTTGCTCTTGTAGAGGACTTAGGTTTGATTCCCAGCACCCACACAGTAGCTCACAGCCATCTGAAACCCTAGTCCAGAGCATCTGATGCCCTCTTCTGACCTCTTCTGCATGCAAGCACCAGGTATACACATGGCACACATACATATACACAGACAAAGCATTTGTATACATAAAATAAATAAACCTTTTAAAAAAGTAAAAACAAAGAATAGGAAGGCATTATCTACAATTCATAAGGGACTTACAATTAGAATACATAAAGAACTCTTACAACTCAAAAAGCAAATACATATTTTTTAATGGGCAAAGGACGTGAATAAACATTTCCCCATGGAAGACAATCAGCCAATGAGCAAATGCAAGGATATTTAACATAATTAGCCAGTCATCAAAGAAACACAAATTGAAGCCACGAGATACCACCCAATAGGCCAGCTACAACAAAAAGAAAAAGTAGCAAGTGTGGGCAAGGATGCTGAGAAACTGGAGTCCTTACTCATCGCTGGTAAGAACAGAAAAAGGAAAAGCCTGTTAGTTCCTCTAAAGTTTGACCGAATGATCCAGCAGCTCCACCTCTAGTACTCAAGAGAAACAGAAACATGAGTCCACTAGAAACCGGCAAACAAATGTTAATGGCAGAAGTATTCAGAAGTACATCAAAGCAGAAAAGATCCCAATGCCATCAACTGATAAGTGGACACATGTGATCTGCCCAGACAATGGAACATTACCTGTCAATAAAGTTAATGGAGCACGGATGCAGACTACAACACGGATGCTGTAAAACACTAATGTAAGTGGAGAAAACCAGCCACCAAGTCCGCTTCTATGGAAAGCCCGGAACTGAGACTCTATAGAGACAGTGGCTGTCTAGTGCTGCACAAGAGAAGAAGGTGAGGAGGGAGGGAGGAATGCGGCTTCTTTTAGCATGAAAAAAAATGCTCTAAAAATGTACTAACTTTGTAACTCTAAATATACTGAAAAAAATTAAAATACTCAATTATTAGTTTTAATAGGTACACAGTATGTGAGCTATCATTTCCACAAAGCTGTTAAACACAAAGTGACAGACAGCACATCAAAACAATTACCTTCTAGTAATGCAATTAACATAGGCAGCATGTTAATAAATGATAAAAGACACAGGACACTTTGCTGTACTAGTCAGTCAAATCTAGTTTTAACTATTATAATTATATTAACTATTTAACTATATGATTTCCCCCAAAAAGCATTTTGACTGATAAACCATATACCCTGAGTGTGACCTTCCATCAAATATGTACTCTACTACAAAAGCAATTGCTATTCCAGACTGTACAGCACAATTCAGCTAACTTAAAAGAGCACACAGGAGCTGAAATAAGGAAAGGAGGCCAATGCACTTACATCAGGCTCTAGGGTCACACACCGCTGAAACGCCTTCGCTGAGCCCATGTAATCTTCCAAGGCCAAGTAGGCACAGCCTAGAGAAAACCAGACCCCAAGCTGCAAAGACCAAGAGTCAGAGTTATACAAACACATACACACATTTGGAAGACACAATCTGAACATATTTAATATGCTATCAAAGAACACACTTCCATGAAGAATTCAGAACTACATTTTATTTGCCTTGTGTTGAGTTTAAATGTAGGAACTCTAGTGGAGATAAGATATACCATGAAACTTTCCAAGCTATTATGACAATGAAAGCATATACAATATTAATATTATTTGCAACTGAGCAATGTACCACAAACATAAGGACAGAGTTCTGCTTTCATCCTCCATTCCCTCAGATAACCTCCACTGTTTAACCAAGAACAGCCTCCCTGGCATGTGTCTGTGTAGGCACGTCTGCAAAAAACTTGGAAGATATAAGGGTCAGAATCTGGCTGAGATTTAGAAAACAGATAATTACAAAAAAAAATTCTTTTCAATGCATGGTTTCCTTACAATTCAATAGAACCTGTCAAGAGGAGATATAACTGGTAAAACTTCAATGGCATTAGTCAGAAATGCACCGATTACGAGTTAAGTTTGTTTTCTTTCAGGGGATGGAAGCCTGCTTTCCTACAGACTGAGCACAGAGGCAGGGAGAGGAGTGGGAAAGGAAAAGACATACTCGGCATCTGGCCCCGCCTTCCCCGTGGGCAGAGGAGGAGCTACCTCCAAGTCCCTCTTCCCTAATCAGCCCCACAAAAACCTGTTCCATATGGAAGGCAGAGGCCTGGAAGGTCTTTAAGCAGATAAAGATTTTTAGCTGATAATTAAAGAGAAGGCTTCCAAAGCAAACATCCTCAGGCAATTTAACACTTCACTCTGAATGCACAGGAGGCTATAAATAACCACCAAGGGCCTTTCTGCAGAGCAGATTTTGGTAGAGGCTAGGTGAAGGCTAGAGAGAGGTGTGCATCTGGAGAGAGGAAGAGAAAAACTTGCTGGAAACTAGTTCCCTGCCCTCAGCTATGGGACTTCAAGGTGAGACAGCTCACCACTTGGCTTCCACCTGGTTATTTACAGACTGAATGAAAAGAACCATTCAAGGCACCAAAACACATTCCCTGGACGTGACACGATCTGAAAGGACCCAAGTCCAACCCTAATTTATGTGACATGTAAAACCAGTCCCCGCCTCCCCACAAGTTCAAAGTTTTGAAACCTTCAGGATACATTTCCCCAGTTCTCGGGTACAGCCTTATTTTTAACATCTCTGAAACAACGACATATCTGGGCCTTTGTCTGTTTGCTTGGCTTTGTTTCTGGTTAATTACACAGGTCCCATTCTGCAGCCCAAACTGGTCTCAAACTCACGGATTCTCCTGACCCTAACCCTAACCAGGTGCCAGGGTCCCAGGCACACATTCACACAACCCGATTCCTCCAGAGAGTTTGACCAGCAGAAGTTTTGTTTTATACAAAGTGGTACTTATAATGCAAGGAACCCTTCCAAGATGGCAGGTTAGAGGCAAAGAATTCTAAATCACTGGGAATTAGGATTATCTTATCCCATTCCGGGACTAAGTTAGAAATATTGCAGACTGTCTTCAAGAGTCTCAAAATGTCTGGGCCTCAGTCACCAAAAAACCCAAATACTTCCCCACATGTTGATTTGAAAAAAAAAAAAGAGGCTGGGCGGCAGTGGCGCACGCCTTTAATCCCAGCACTCTGGTGGAGCTCTGTGAGTTCGAGACCAGCCTGGTCTACAGAGCAAGATCCAGGACAGGTACCAAGACTACACAGAGAAAACCTGTCTAAAAAAAAAAAAAAGAAAGAAAGAAAGAAAGAAAGAAAGAAAGAAAGAAAGAAAGAAAGAAAGAAAGAAAGAAAGAAAGAAAGAAAGAAAGAAAGAAAGAAAGAAAAAGAAATAGAGGCTGTGTAAAATCAGGACACAAATGAAAAACCTTATTTTCCAATCCACCAGAAAAGATGAGCAAATACTTCAAATAACAGCACTTATGGTATAGCTCTGCCCACACTGGTCTGATGAGGTTTATTATTTACTTTTAAGTTTTAAGTTTTAAAGACCAGCTAATGCCTTACACTCAGTGTCTTAAATTTTAATGGAAATTTAGACATATGACTTAACCTAATATAAAGTATTAATATGGTCCTTGTGTCCTTTACCTTTGGTTATTTTTTTTTTTTGCAGTTGTTTTAATAATTTGCATGGAATGAAAATCCCAAGATCAGTTAACTACTAGCCTGCACCCATCAATACCAGGTACACGAAGGGAGAAGAGCCCTTCAGACATCCTGCAAAGCTCTCATTTTGAAACCACAGGGTCTCCCAGGTGCTTACGGCTGACTCACTGCATCATTTTTATTTTCTATTTCTCAACTGAGGTCTTTAGAATGTGAAGAACTATGGACAATCCCGGCATTTCTTTTCCTTTACTTTGAAATTATTACCTGAACTACCACCGTCAAGAATGGCTGCCGAGGCCGGTGAGACGGCTCCCACAGCCGACAGGCACAGCTGGGGGCTGTGCCAGCCGGACATACTCAGAGCAGCGGCGGCAAGAGACTCTCTTCAACAAGATGACAGGACGTCGACTCCTGTGAGTTGTCTGCTGAGCCCTACATGCATGCTGCGTTAGTCACACATGCATGTGCCTGCACACACGCCAATACGATATATATGGAATAAACAAATCAAGAGGCCTCAAAAACCTTCACAGACGTCCCCAAACTACGGTTGAATTCTGTAAGCTCCAAGTCACTATTATTTGGCCCTGAGATGTCAGGTGGGTAGGAGAGTAGCTTCATTACATGTTCTGGTGGCTCCATTTAAAAAAAGTTTATTTTAATACTATTTAATTCTATATACACAAAATGAGATTGTGTCAACATGCTATTAAATATATAAAATGCCTGAGCTATTTTACATCCACTTTTTGCCTACTAAGTCTTTTAAACCTGATGTGTATCCAGGACTTGCAGTCTTGCTCCTAGGAGGAAACATGCCACTGTCTCCTCCCTTCAGAGCAAATCCAAAGACACGGCTAGGGCAGGGTCACCCCAGGAAGGTGAGCTCACCTCAAACCACACTAAGGAAACTGGCGGGGTGACAAGCCCACTACTGAGACGCAGAGCTCCCTTCCTGCCTGCTAGCACAGCCCAGAGCCTCCAGGAGGATCTGCGGCTGTGCTCACCTTTCTAAGGAGAAATAAATGTGCAGCTTTTCATTTTTCTCTTTTGTCTCTTCAGGGTGCTGGCCGGACCCTAAATATGCTCTGTCTAGGACTTTGGGCTTCCTTATTCTCTAAACACCACCTCCACCCTACTGTGTGGCTGCCTGTCACTGTGTGTCTCCCCTCTATGCCAGCTTAACTCAAAGGGCAAAGTGTTTTCCTTCTCTCCTCCACGCGCCTCCTCCTCCAGGCAGCTGTTGAGATTTACAGCTTGCCCGCCCTGGGAGTTTTCTTTTCAATGCTAATAAAACTGTACTCAATTTTCCCATTTGAGTCTATTCTTAAATTATTTTATTAATGGGCCTAAGAACATCAAGAGAGGATCCCAATGTCCCCAGTATCATATGGTGACTCTGGCAGTACTCCCCAAAATTTCTGGTAACAACAGTATGTATTAACTTTGCCTAGCCACATTCAATCCAACCTTTCATATACTAGAATCATTCCTGTTCCCTCTCTCTAGTCAAAATAATTTTCACTTAAGGAGCATCTATTAAATACATTTTCACTAGGATCTTTCCATTTATAACTTCATGTATTCCCCCACAAAAACCCTGCTAGGGAATGTCACCCATTAATGAAACGCTGAACGAACAGGACCTATACAACCACACTAGTGTTACTCCACTTGGTCACACTGCCTCCCAATATACCATCCTACACACAAGTGGACCACACTTGTCACCAGTAAAGAAATAAAGGGAAAAATAGTGCAGATAACATGTACTGGAGCACCCCAAAGATTTGCTCATCTGTTTGCTTGTTTACCTTCAGAACACGCAGTGCATAGCTCCTTCCCCAAAGGCTGTCTTGACGCAGACAGAGAAGCAGCAGCAAGGGGGTGGGCATGTTCAGACAGAGGGAAGAGCTGAAAGGGTCTGGCTAAGAATGGAAAGAAACAACCGCTTGTCAGAGAGACTCTGCTGAGATTTCTATAGCGCTCACACATCTGGGGCAAGTCAGGAGGCCATTGCTACTACTGGCCACGACCTGGGGAAGCCAGAGTCTAGTGTGCGGGAGCCAATGCAGAAACACAAAAGCACAACACTCTGGGTTTTTGGATGAAATGATGCCTGTATTTAAATAATGATTGCTTACGTGTTTTAATTTTTTTTTAAAAAAAAGAACATGATCTGCTAGATTTTCCCTCCCAGAGCCACATAGAGCAAAACAGAAGTGAGAAAATGGCTGATTTAGGAGGTTCTGAGCACCTCTGTGGCTTCAGCCATAATACTGAACCTCTGAGTCTTTGGGTGTTAAGATGTGTGTGTGGGGGGGTGTTAAACAGACTAAAATTCAAAAGCTCTGAGACTCCCCAGAAGTGACGGGGTTCATAGGTACGCTGGTGCCATCTAGCGGTGGGATAAATACACTGGTCATAAAAACAGTATTCAGAATCAGCAGATTTGAAAGAGCTAAAAAGGGAGTTCATTCAATTAGAGGCCTTAGACATTAATTCAAAAGAAGCCCAGAGAAAAACACGGCCTAGAGAAAACAATTGTTCAAAGCGTCATGGTTCCTAGTTCCTGGAGAAGTAGTGTGTGTGATGAGGGAGCCACTACAGTACTTCATAAACTCCAATACTGAAATGGAAATTAGCCATGCCGGGGCCAACACAGAGTGCCACTGGAGAATGGGTGAAATTATTTTTCTGACTGAAAAGATAACTTCCAACTGTAAGGAAACATGGCGCCACCTGCTTGGATTCCACAATTTTCTGACTTGCTTCTCTCGATTTCCTTTTCCCTCGGGGGTTTCCCCAAATCAATAATCAAGGCTCACACTTTCTAAGTCCCTTTGGTACCAATGGGTCTGTATCTGTGTCACGTGTGCTGAAGATAACACAATCCAGCCCTAAAAGCATACCCCATTCTCCATTCTCTGCCTTCTGCTTCCCTAGCTCGGTCCCACGGCACAAATGCAAACCGGCTGTCGATGTAGGTCATCAAACAGGAAGTGTCCTGGGCCAAATCCCAGATCACCGCAATCACTGTTTGGTAGCAGCTTTTTCCCTAAGAGATGCTTCATGCTCGGTTCTGAAATATGTGCACCACCATCTTAGATTCTCCTCACTGAAGGTGCACAAGCTTTACCCTAAAGGGATAGTTTCCTCCATTTTCTTTTACTGTAGGCTATGGGTTGTTTAATGCTGTTTCTCTTCACGCTGTTTGGATCTGGTTACAGCTGTTCTGTTATTTGCCTACTCTTTCCAAAAAAACTTACAGTCTGTTTGAGTCATATGCACCTGAGACTCTCCTGGTAGGTTTATCTTCCTATGAGGCTACAGATAATGGGGCAATGGTAATTTGCTAGCATTACTCATGTTTACTACTGAGAGCTGATTATGGACCAGAACTGTGCTAGCCCCGTACATACACTGGCTGCTTTTCCCAGAAGTGGAGTCATATACAAACCGGAATAGCCATCATATGAAAGCTAAAGAATGGACTGGCCTGTGCCTTGCTCCTTGGGGTTCAGAAGCAGGTCTCCAGCAGCAAAGCTTTGCCCTCCCCACTAGACTTAGTTCCAGTTATAGCTCAGATGGTAGCACAGGGCTCATGTCTCTTGGCAGTTTTACATCTTAGGCCTTAGGAGTTTGGGTTTTTTTATTGCTTACCAATATGAGAAAGGAAAGAATCTTTTGTTTTCTGTACATATTACCCACACATGTCCATCCTGTCTGCCCACTGGAATGTAAGTACCAACCTCCTTGGATCTTCTACCACAACTAATACAACTTTACAAAAGAAACTATCCAATTGCATTTCAAATAAAGATATTTTATCCTTTCAAAAACTAAAGAGTCAGGCATAGTGGCACATGTCCATAAACCCAGTATTAGAGAGTCTGAGGAGAAAAAAAAAAAGACAAATTCAAAGCCAACCTAGGCTATGTAGCAAGACCCTGTCTCAAAACAAAACAAAAACCTCTAAAATAACAGACAACACCTGCCCCTATCAATGAAGGACGAGCACAGACCTTCAGATGATGAAATCACAGAGACTGGGCTATGAAGGCCTGGCTGTCAGGGAGGTCTCTAGAGACTCACTGGGTTATCAGGTGTTGAGTGTTCCCGAAAATCAATCTTATAACTGCATTTTGCTCATAACAAGAGCCCAGTGACTCTTCATTAAAGGGAAAAAACCTTGTAAGCTGACAGCTTAAGGTATTCAGGGCTCTCTAGAACTTGGTCTTAGCCAACATGGTATTGTGTCCTGCCATGATCTCAGAGAAGAAGAGCTCCGGAGCTGGACTCAATGGACAGACTGAGTACCAGCTCCAGTCCTCATGAACTCCAGGGGGTGGTTCAATTATTTCTTCATCATAAGAACCTTGGTGATTGTGCTGCTGGCTAAGGATACTCAGAGTGCTTACAAAACAGAACCTGGAACCTGCTCATATGCAATACTAGTTGTTATAATACTATTACGACAGAATAAAATGAAGTCAAACTCGACAGTTACCAAGAATCTTTGTTTTCTAAATGACTGTATTTGCATACACAGGCTCTCATTCCCAGAACACATGTTCCCAGCTTTCACTTCTGTCCCAATCTAGCATGCTCTTTAGGTTCATATCAATACTTACTTCTCCTTCTGGCCTTTTCTGACCATCACAGCCTCATTCACCTCTAGGCAGCAAAAGCACATTGCCCATTTAGTCTACCGCTGATTAGACCCACACCTCTTCTCCCTCCATTTAAGACACAGAAGCCAAAGGGGTACAAGTCTCCACTTAGCATAATCTTCTGCACCTCTCAATATCACTGAATGGTCTAAAAGGAATCCGTCCACATTTACATCCTAGCTTGGGGCAGCAGTGCTTACCAAACAGGAGCTATGTTCCTCCAGTCTCAACAAAGTGCTACTCCCTGTTTCAGAGCTAAAATTTCATCTCGCCTCAGTCCACTGTCTCCTCAGCCTTGCCACTGGCTTCATCCCACCTTTGTCCACCCGAGGGTTTCATTTCTGCCCACAGCCAACTAAAGACCCCCAGTACCTCAAAAGCTTTACTTAGCCCTTCTGCTCCGAGTTCAGCAGTACATCTGAGCCTCATCTCCTGGGTGTGCCTGTAAGTAAGCACTCTGTTGATGCTAATCTGTTGTCAGACCTACAACTCACTCTTCAGTCTCCAGAGTGTTGCTGAAGGTCACCAGTGACCTCTTCGTGACCTTCTACGAATTTTGTGGCATTTGGCGTCACTCCCTGACGCTTGTTCCTCCTTTAATTTCTATGATCCCTCTCCCTTGGCTCTTTCCCCTCTGGCCAAGTCTGCTGTGTTGACCCCAGTGTGTTCTGTTTGATTTGTATTCTGGTAATATCCTTTTTTCTACCTCCCTCCAATTGCTAGAGATGCCCAGAGTACAAGTATAGCTAGAGTTTTCCTGCCTGGCCCACAGTCAGGACAAATCTCTCTCACCTGCCAGTCCCACAGCCACTCAGACCCGACCAAGTAAACACAGAGACTTATATTGGTTACAAACTGTATGGCCATGGCAGGCTTCTTGCTAACTGTTCTTACAGCTTAAATGAATCCATTTCCATAAATCTATACCTTGCCACATGGCTCGTGGCTTACCGGCATCTTCACATGCTGTTTGTCATCGTGGAGGCTGGCAGTGTCTCTCTGACTCAGCCTTCCACTTCCCAGCTTTTTTCTCCTCCTTGTCCCACCTACACTTCCTGCCTAGCCAATGGCCAATCAGTGTTTTATTTATTGACTAATTAGCAACACATTTGCCATACAGAACATCCCACAGCGTACAAGACTCTGCCTAATAGCCTCAGCGGGTACCATGTTCTCTAAGGAATTCACTTACTAGTGTGGTTCCAACTCACGTCCAAAGAACACCATCTGCACACTCCACTCTGGTTCACAAGGGGTCTTCACTCAGGCTTTTAGCTCTAGGGGACTATCAGCTATCTTTGCTTAAATCACCTTATAGTCAACATCCAGAACTACATCATCTGTCCTGCTAAAAGGTATTTTTCCCTTCCTGGACTTCCTATAGCTAATTTAAGAGATATCTGGGTCTGGAGATGTAGCTCAGTAGTCTAATGTATACTCAGCATGTGTCAGCACCTGGGTCCAACCCCCAGTAACACACACACACACACACACACACACACACACACACACACACACACACACAGACACCAGGCGTCCAAACTGATTCCAAGGCTTCCCTCAACCCTGCCAACCCAAGAGTAAACTCAGAAAATTTTCCTCTGTAACAAACTTCAACCTATTCCTGCTCATACTTACTGCTAACGTCACTGACACTCACCTGTGACATTCATTCTTCATTTAAATTTTCGACAGTACCATTTGTGACATATTGGTCATTTACACAAAATCACAACAGAGTCCCCTATCCATAAAGCTAGATAACCCTAAGGCAGGGCCATAAGTGGTTCAAAACGGATTCTCCCTCCATCATTTTCCAGCACAAACTCTTTGCTCTCTGCTCATAGGTTGGCACAGCCCACTGCATCCCACATTTGCATCTGGCACACGGCAGGCACTCCATACTGTTAGGTCAGGCAACCACACAATGTTCTAGTCCAACAATAAACCTTTCAAAACAACCAAGAACACTAAAACGATGTAAAATGCATGATTTTTAAAAGCCTATCTATTAACTATTGACCAATTGTTGGTTTTATCTTGTCAGGGGATTTAAAATTAGTGTATTAAAAAACCCATATTCAAAACTAAAAGTATTGTCAGGTATACAAGAAGCTGAGGAAAGAGGACTAAGAGTTCTGGTCCATCTTGGGCTACAAAGTGAGAAAATATCTCAAAATATTACCACCACTACTACTATTAATAACACAGAAGCTACTTAATGGGAAATACATAATCAAAATTGCATTTTATTT